CAAGGAATCTAAAGCAACCACGGGAGTGAGGCAGAGTGCATGCAGGCTGCCAGGGCGGAGGGCATAAAAGGGAAGAGTTAGACTGCATGGTCTAGAATTGCAGTGATTCAAAAGTGAAAAGCTTCTGGGCTCTGCTTTACAGCACTGCTTCTAGTTAATTTCATGCTCTAAACAAAATCTGGAGAGCACTGATCTCATACTGTGTATTTTTAAAACCAAAAATCTTATGTTGAACTTCAAAAACACCATCAAGAAAGTGAAGACAACCCTTACACAGAGAAGTATGTACAATCCATGTCACAATATCCAGAATATACAAAGATTCTGACTTTCTGTCACCAAGAAGTATGGGAGGGATTTCTCTAAATTCCACAGCAGATACTAGCTGGGCATCTGTGCTGGCTGGTTTTTGTCAACTTGACACAAACCTAAACACATCCGGGAAAAGGGGATCTTAATTGAGAAAATGCCTCCCTAAGATTGGCCTGTATATAGGCAAGTCTATAGGGTATTGTCTTGATTAATGACTGATGTGGGAGGTTTCCCTCCTTGGCAGTTGGTCCAAGATTGTGTAAGAAAGCAGGCTGAGCATGAGGAGCAAGCCAGTGAACAGCACTCCTTCCTCCATAGCCTCTGCTTCAGTTCCTGCCTCCACAGTCCTGCCTTGAGGTCCTGCCCGGTTCCCTCATTGATAGGGTGTGACCTGAGAGTTGGAAGATGAAATAAGTCCTTCCCTCCCAAGCTGTTTTCAGTCATGGTGTTACACGGACCTTAAATCAACTCAATCTGGAGATAAGCTGTTTATCTTAAAGTGTCAATGATGCACCCTCAGGTTGGTGGACTTAATGTTTATTTATGATAAGCCTGATATAAATCAGGGTTCCCATGAACCCCATGTTGTTTGGTCCAATTAATTTGCTTGAACTTCTCAAGGAACTCAGGAAAACACAATTATTGGCCCACTACAAAGGATATGCAAAAGATGCCAATAAACACCAGATGAGACACACATGCACAAGGACCATGGGAAGAATGGCCTTGCTTCCACACCCTCTCAAGCACAACATGCTCCACAAGTTGAGCTATCCAGAAGCTCCCCAAACTCAATTCTTTGGGGTTCAAAAGGAGGTCTCGCTGAGTAAGCATAAATTATTATACTACTGTCCAATGATAATCTTTTTTTTTGTTTGTTTTTTTGTTTTTCAAGACAGGGTTTCTCTGTGTAGCTTTGCGCCTTTCCTGGAACTCACGCTGTAGCCCAGGCTGGCCTCGAACTCACAGAGATTGCCTGGCTCTGCCTCCCGAGTGCCGGGATTAAAGGCGTGCGCCACCACCGCCCGGCCAATCTTTTCAACCTTTGTTCTTCCCCTCTTTGGAACACACAAATCATACCTAGTTCTTTCCTCTGACCAGTCCCCATCCTAAAGCTAGTTAGGGGGTTACAAGCATAGCTACACTCAATAAAACTCATTAGCAATCCCAAGCATTTTAGGATTTACACGCCAAGAAATGGATAAAGCCCAAACACACATTTCACAATACATCACTAAATAATACTTCACGCCCACAAAGAATGCTGTAATCAAATGGCTGTTACCAGCCTGACATAGTGATACATCCCTTTCACCCCAGCACTAGGGAAGTTGGGGTAAAAATATCCTAAATTAGAAGCAAGGGCTACTTTGGAGGAGGGGGCACTCAGGTGATATTGGCAAGATGTGGGAAAATTGAAGAGTTCATACATGCTGATGGAGATGTAAAATAGTAAAGTCACTTTGGAAAAGGCTGTAAGTTCTTAACTGATTAAATACTGAGATGGCGCAATACTCAGTAGCTCTGCTGCTAGGCACATACGAGAAAACTGAAGGCAAAGGCTTACACCAAAAACAGGGACTAAAGATGTAGCTCAGTTGCAGAGAACCTGTCTAGCCTCGGTTTCATTTAATTTTTTTTGAAAAAGGATCTTTTCAGCAGAGCGTGGTGGTGCACACTTTTAATCCCAGAAGGAGGTGGATCTCTATGAGTTCAAGTCCAGTGTGGACTACATAGCCAAACCAGTCAGGGCTACATAGTGAGAATCTGTCTCAGAAAAACAAACACACAGGCTGGGCCGTGGTGCCTTTAATCCCAGCACTCGGGAGGCAGAGGCAGGAGGATCTCTGTGAGTTTGAGGCCAGCCTGGTCTATAGAGCGAGTTCCAGGATAGGCTCCAAAGCTACACAAAAAATCCTGTCTCGAAAAAAACAAAAACAAACAAACAAACAAAAGGGGGGATGGGTGAGGAGGTGGCCTGGGGAACACAGCTCTGTGGTCAAAGTTCTTACAGAGTGCAGATCCCCAGAACCCACACAAATAAGCAAATGAGTAGTAAGTGGGCATAGCGGCACACATGTAATTTCAGCCTCAAAAACCGGAGACTAGAAACAGTCCTAGAGCAAGCTAGCTATGAGCTCTCGGTCTGACTAAGAGAACTTGCCTCAAATATTAAGGTGGAAGAGTGATTAGGAAGATTCCAGATATCAATATGCATATATGCTCACTAACAGGCAAATGTCAACATACATACAGCATACACAAAGAGAAAAAATACTCTTTAAAAATACAAACACATATATTCAAAACAGAATTATTCATAAAACCTAAAAAGTCTAAACAACCCAAATGCTGATCAGTTAATAGACAAAACGTAGTATGTTCATACAGGCTACTACTAATCCATTAAAAAGTAATGAACTATTGATACATCCTACATCATGTAAGAGTGTACTCAACAGGACATAGAAAACCATCCACTCTATGATTCCATTAAAATGTTCAAAACAGCTGGGCAGTGGTGGCACACACCTTTAATCCTAGCACTCAGGGGACAGAGGCACACGGATATCTGAGTTCGAGGCCAGCCTGGTCTACAGAGCGAGTTCCAGGACAACCAGGACTATACAGAGAAACTTGTCCTGAAACAACAACAACAACAACAATAATAATAATAATAAATAAACAAAGTGTTCACACCAGACAACTCCTAGAAGCAGAAAGATTAGTAACTGCCAGAGACTCAGAGGAAGAAAACATAAGGGCAGATTCTTTTCTTTTCTTTTTCTTTTTCTTTTTTTTTTTGGTTTTATGAGACAGGGTTTCTCTGTGTAGTTTTGGTGCCTGTCCTCAAACTCACAGAAATCCGACTGGCTCTGCCTCCCGAGTGCTGGGATTAAAGGTGTGTGCCATCACCACCTGGCCAGGGCAGTTTCTTTTTAAGACAGTGAAAATACTCTAAATATTTTATATGCTAAATATTCTAAAATTGATTATGGTGATCGCAGCATAGCCCTGTGAATAATAAAACTACACCACTCTTATAAATAGATGAATTACATGGTATGTTAGAGCTACCTCAAATCTGTTTAAGGAAAACTCAATGATGCTCACAATGTGTTTCAAAAATAACAGGGAAGGTTTAAATAAACAGGAATCGCTGGTCACTGACTGAAAGTCTACACAATAAAGCAATGGATCCCTAGCTGAACTACAGGCTTTTTGAACTCCTATCAAGCTCGCGCACGGCAGTTCTCACAGATTTTATTGAGATTCTAGAATGTGTATGAAAAGGCAAAGGCGCCACAAAGCTGCAATAATTCTGGCCAAGGCTAAAGTGGAGGAAGCAATCTGCCTTCTAAGTCCACACAGTTATGGCTCAGGCAAGCAGGCTCTGAAAGACGCCGAAGACACGGAGACCAGCGAACAAATCAGAGCACCAAAGCAGGACTACAATACGGTCAACTGGTTGTGAGAAGGAGGCAGAAGCAGTTCCACTGAGAAAGGATTGTCGTTTTTACTAATGGTGCTGAAACAACGGGGCACCCAGAGGGCAAACAGCAACCTCTAAGCCACACAGCCACATCTCGGATTCAAAAGCAATCAGGAATTTAAATAGGAAACACAGAACTACACAATTTATAGACGATGACAGGGGGAAGCCTTGGAACTGAAGCAAGGGGCTCTTGAACTTGGCACCAGAGGCATGCTATATTGCATGGATGAAGTCATAAGTCAGATCTTATCAAAGTGGGGACTGTGTTAAGATGAGGTCTCTAAGAATATTTTAAAAAGCAGTATCTTCTGCTTATAAACTCAAAGAAAATATTTGCAAAACACATCTAACAAAAGTCTTAAGGGGACAGGTAGTGACACAAGCCTTTAATCCCAGCACTTGGAAGGCAGAGGCAGGAGGATCTTTGAGTTCCAGGTCAGCCTGGTCTACAGGAGGGTTCCAGGACAGCCAAGGCTACACAGAGAAACACTATCTTGGGGGAGGGGGAAGGGGAAGGGAGTGGGGAAGAGAACTCTCAAAACTCAACAGTAAGCAAGAAAATTATTCTGACTGAACAAAAGATATCAAAGCATTTCACCAAAAAAAAAAAAAAAAAAAAAAAGTGGGAGCAGAATAAAAACATGGAAAGATGTCCAAAACCATCAGCCATCACAGAAGCACTAAACACACACACAGCACACAATTAGGCAATCTCAGAACCGTCAGCCATCACAGAAGCACTAAACACACACACAGCACACAACTCGGCAATCTTACCCTTAGATATTTAAGAAAAAAAGGAAAACGTTTATTTACACAAAATCCTCACATTTCCTGTACAAATGTTCGCCAGTCCTAGGTTTACAACAGAAAACTCTGAACATCCCTCCGGGCTGGAGGGACGGCTCAGCAGATAAGAGCACTGGCTCCGTAAGCACAAAGACCCAAGTTCAAGTCTCCAGAACTCGCATGAAAGCCAGGTGTGCCTGTAATCCCAGCACTGGGAGGGGGTGGAGAAAGGACTGCTGGCCGCCAGCCTAGCTCCAGGTTCAGCAAGAGACCCTGTCTCACCGAAACAGGACAAAGAGGAGCCAGAGTGCTGGTCCTCCTCTGGCCTCCGCACGTACACACATGCACATACACCGCACACAAGCTCATAAGGTGAAAGGTCAAACAAAGTATCTTAACTTACCACTACATACCATTCTGGAAATGGCAAAACCACAGAGCTAGGGGACAGGCTGCCAGGAGTCAGAGAGCAGAGTTATGAAGGGACTGTCACAGGGTGTGGCAAGAGGGGTGGCCTCTGTGACACCTCAAGTTTGTATCTTCACTGTAGTAGCTACATAAATGTCTACATGAGAAGAAAAACAGCACAAAGTTATATATTCACTATTAGTGTAGGTCTCAGAATTGTAGAAACTGTGAATTTAGTAGTCTTATTAACCATAAAGTAGCACGTCAATTTTCTGGGTTTGGTGACTTACTATAAGATGTCTGGATGAAGAAAGCACAGCATTCTTTATTTATTTATTTTTTTTCTGGCATGAACCAAATGGCAACCATTGCTGCTTGACAAACTTCTCCAGTACTTTTTTACTTTTATTTTTAATGAATTTTTAATTCTCACTATTAATGCCTTTCCCTTTGGGAAATTTTGTGTGGGTTTTGGTAAAGGGTGAAAATGTGTAGAATGGCTGGCTCTCTAAACAAAATAATTCTTTGGAAAAAAAAAAATCCCCACCACTGTGGACCCAGGAATGAATTCCATTGTGCCCTCCTAATTACACCAAGAACAGGAATGGTAGAGGTTTACTGGACACACCTGATCCCAAGGATGAAAGGCCTACGATTCAGATCCAGAACTGAGGCCATTAAGGGCAAGAGTTCAGTTAACAAACACAGAGAAATCCAAATGGTATGGTATAATGAGAAAAGAGTAAGACATCAGGCCCTTCCCTTTTGGAAGCATATGAGGGGAACCGGCCCATATAGTAAGGCTTGTAGTAAGGCAACTGTAATATAGTGCCTGTTCCCCAGAAGTCCCTTTCCTAAGGTCAGGCATTTGGGTAAGAGTCTTCATTCCTTTGGGAGCTTGAGGAAAGTTCCTGATTGCTAAAGCAGTCATTCTTATCTCTAGCAAGAGGAACTTACGGCCCTTTCATTAACGAATGAGTGGTGCCTACTGTCAAGGTCAAAGCTAGTTTCTTCCACCCCGATTTCAAGCCACACTCCAGCTCAGATGCCCCTTGTCCCCCATTTAATCCTATGCGCAGCTATACAGTATAAAAAGTGTAGTCTCTTTTCAATTAAATGTTGCTGGCAGCCATCCTGATTCACCCTCAGATCCATCTCCTCCCTCCCCCACCCCACCACCACCGACTCCACACATCCTCTTTGGTACCTGAACTCCCCTGCCAAAGCAGGTTTCCAGCATCTATCTATCTATCTATCTATCTATCTATCTATCTATCTATCTATCGATTATCTATCTATCGATTATCTATCTATCGATTATCTATCTATCTCTTTCTTTCTTTCTATCTTTCTTTCTCTTTTTTTTTTTTTTTTTTTTTTTTGTCCTGAGACAGGGTCTGGCATGAAATTGCTATGTAGACCAGGTTGGTCTCTAACTCACAGAGATATGTGTACTTCTGCCTCCTGAGTGCTGGGATAAAGGTGTGGACTACCACACCAGTTACACAGCCTTCTATACTAATTTTGCCACTTCCAATAATTTTTCAAAATAAAGTTATCCTAAAAATAACAGAAGCTGTGGGACCAGCAGGCTTGGCACGTAAAAGGAAGTTTTCACTGGCTTTTTTTTTAAACGGACCCGAGAGTTTGATCCTTGGGCCCCACATGGTACTCCTATAAGCTGTCCTCTGACCTCAACAGGTAAACCAGGGCACATGGGTGTGCACTCAAGCACACACACAACAAACAAGTAAATAAACAAAATACTGAGAGGACAGGCAGATGGATCAGCAGTTAAGTGTGTGCAGTACAATCATTAAGACTGGAGTTCAGATCCCAGCACCTACGAAACAAGCCTCAAATACCTATGAAGCCCAGCTCCAAGGGATCTGACATGCTCCTCCAGCCTCTGCTCATGTACAAGCATATGCACCCATATATTCATGTGCACATCATTCACAAGACGCATACACACACAAGTAAACAGATGAAATCTTTAAATAACAAGAGGGTAGAAAACAGGAAAGGTAGAAGTCTAAATGAAACAAGAATGGCCAACAATTGCTAACTGTAGAGTTCCTAGACTTTGCTTTCCTCTACTTAAATGTGTCTATAATAAAACACTAATAAAAATGTAAGAAAGTCATTCCATCTTCAAACCAAAGTATTAACTGAACAGCTTCTCATTTTTTTTCTTTTTCTAACATGCATTTCAATTCTGCAAAATAAGTGTGTTTCTATACGATGATTTTTGGGCTGGCTCAGCGGGTAAAGGCACTTACTGTAAATCTTGACAACCTTAGCTCAATCCCTAGAAACCAGGTGAGAACTGGCTCCACAGAACTGTCACCTGCCCTCACCCACACCACAGCACCCACACACATCATATACACTTACACAATAATAATTTAATTTTAAAATAAAGTAACAGAATGACTTTAGCAGGTTAAGTTCAATTAATGCCTTGTATTTTGCCCTTCTCTTCCTTTGTGTCTGTGGGGAGGTATCTTATTGAACGTGAAGAGAACCCTGACAATTCCTCCCCTAACAGTACACTGATTACATAATGTGAAAATAGTTAACCTAATATCCAATTTATGTTCTACACAACTATGTTCCTGAAGATTCCAAAAATTTTTTTTCTACAATTAACCAAAGAGACCCTGCTAGAGAAGATTTACAGTAACACACCAGTCGTTATTACAGCGATCCTCGTAAAACAGAAAACAAGAGATAGGCACAAAGATGTTTTAGTAACTCTAGGCACATGTTAGGAGTTTTGTCTACTAAAGGCAGCATGTCAGCATGTACCTGTAACCCCAGCTGCTCAGAAGGGCGGAGGGAGGCAGCCAGGCTTGCCTGGGCCTAGGAGCTAAGACCTGCTTTAAGTGAGAGCCAACAAAAAGGAAGGAAGAGAGAAAGGAAGGGAGAGAAGGAGGGAGGGAGGCAAGGAGAGAGGGGAGAAGAGGGCACAGAGAGAGAAATTTTTGCCTAAGTTAAAATTAACATTAAGTGATCTTGTTTTAAAATTGTGTATAGTCTTTTTAACTTTTTGAACATTTTTAAAAAGTAGCTATTAAGGAGGAGACTCGAAGATAGCTCTGGGAATAACATACCTGCTATGTAAACATGAGGACCTGAGTCTGGGTCCCCAGCACCCAGGGGCAAGAGTGCACATTTGCAACCCCAGTGCTGGGAAGGCAGATCCTAGAGGTCACTGCCAGCCAGCCTAGCCAAATTCAATGGAAGACCTTGTCTCGGAAAATAAGGGAGGCCAGGTGGTGGTGGTGGTGGTGGTGGTGGTGGTGGTGGTGGTGGTGGTGGCGGCGGCGGCGGCGGCGGCGGCGGCGGCGGTGGTGGAGGAAGAGGAGGAGGAGGAAGAGGCGGAGGAGGCGGAGGCGGCATTAATCTCAGCACTCGGGAGGCCCAGTCAGGCGGATCTCTGTGAGTTCAAAGTCAGCCTGGGCTACAGAGCGAGATCCAGGACAGGCGCAAAACTACAGAGAAACCCTGTCTTGAAAAAAACCTAAATAAATAAATAAGGGAGAACATTCAAGAAAGGCACCACGTGCAAATGCATGCACACACACAAAATATTAAAAGAAAATATTGAAAACTGCACAATGATAATTTGCTGAAAAATTCAACAAATGTACATGCATATGAAGCAACAATAATTCAATGGATACTGAAAAAGAATACTTCTTATCATGCAAGTGCTTAATTTTTTTAATTTGATTACTTTAATTATATCAAGGTAATATAATTACCTCTTTCCCTTAGTGATGATTAAAAGTAATTTCAGGGCCAGGCAATGGTGGTGCCATTAATATGCACCTTTAATCCCAGCACTCGGGAGGCAGGGATCTCTGTGAGATGGAGGCCAGCCTGGCCTACAGAGTGAGATCCAGGACAGGCACCGAAACTACACAGAGAAACCCTGTCTCGGAAAAAAAAATTAATTTCAATAAAATAAGTTAAATAAAACTAAACTATATATAAAATAACAAAAGGCAAGTTCTGCGTTCTCTATGGGACCCTGGGTAAGTCCCAATATTTCATCATCTACAAACCAAAGGAGTGACACTTATTACATTTTCAGCTCCAGCCAGGCGGTGGTGGCGCACGCCTTTAATCCCAGCACTTGGGAGGTAGAGGCAGGCAGATCTCTGAGTTGGAGGCCAGTCTGCTCTACAGAGTGAGTCCTAGGACAGCCAGGGTTACACAGAGAAATCTTGTGTTCTAATACCCTCTACCCGTGATCATGAGGACTCCTTTGGGGAAGGATCAGCCATGCATATGGTAATGACAAGTAGTTACACTATAAGTACCTTTCACAGACATACATTTGGATGGAAAGTACTCTCAATATTAGCTCATAATTTCTCAACCATTTATTTCTTATAGAGGTTGTCATGTGCATTGTAGCATATTTAACATCTATCCACCAAAACTAGAAGAATCTCCCAGCAAGACAAGAAAAAAAACCTGCTGATATTGCCAAAATCATTTCTGGTTTGAGATGAAACGTAAATGTTCCAAGGCCTTTTGAAGACGGGAAAGAAGGTGGCTCTTTCTCTTTGGAGACACAGGTGGAAAGAAGAGGCTAGGGGCACTTTCTAACGAAACAAAAATGCCTAATTCAACTACTAGTTCTGTATGAGGCTCAACTAAAAACATCACCCAAGCACAGTGGCGCACACTTTTTTAGTTTCAGCACTGGAGAGGCAGAGGCAGGCAGATCTCTGAGTTTGAGGCCAGCCTGCTCTACAGAGTGAGTCCTAGGACAGCCAGGGCTACACAGAGAAACCCTGTCTCGAAAAACTAAAAAAGATCATTAACCAAATACTAGTGTATGGCCAATGTGGAAATGAGAATAACAACATACAAACTGTGGGAGAGAGACCGGAGTTTCACAGTCAAAAGCAGTTACCCCTCTACCAAAGGGTCCAGGTTCAATTCCCAGCACCCACATGGCAGCTCACAATTGGTGTCACTCCAGTTCCACAGGATCTGACACCCTTGTCTCTGGCCTCTGGGGACACTGCACACATGTGGTGCACATACATGCATTCAAGCAAAACATCCATACACATTAAAATTTAACAAAAATCTTTTAATTATTCTTAAAAGCTGTGAGAGACAGTCATAAATAAA